CCCACCAGGGCCGTGGTATTCTGTTAGAGTGGCCCAGACTGCTAAGACCCTGGCAGGAGTCCCACTGATTGCATTAGAGAGTCTCATAGCTTAATGGGCAGGCCCCACAGGACTAGAAACCCAACCCTTGCCAGCCCCCCCAACCCCGCTCAGGGCCCGAATGCTTCTTTCCTCAAAGGCAAGCTTTCATGGAGCACCTGTCCTCCGTGCCCGGCTCTTGGCATCCTTGTCTCTGAGCCTTGCACCGGGCGGGGATTCTATCTGCAGTTCAGTAACCAAAACCTCGGAGGGGTCAGGAGCACCCGGGGCAGGAAGCGAGTGGGCCGCGGCTGCCCTCCGGCCTGCTGCCGGCCAGTCCCTGCCCATCCCGGGCGGCGCTGCAGTCCGGGCTCCTGGGATATCCTCTCTGAGGATGAGCACCAGCCTCGGCGTCTCGCTTCCAGCCTTTTCCTGTCCCTTAGAGGGAAGAGGCGAGCTCACATCGGAAGAATTTTTATTTTGAATCTGTGCCTCCTGTCTTTAGACTCCCGCTGGTCCTGGGTGAGGGGAGATCTGGGCAGCCAGGCCCTACCTGCTCTGCCTCGGCCCGAGCTCTTCCCTCAGACAGAGGGTCCTGGGTGGGGGCAAGCCAGGAGGGGCTGCTGCAGCCCCTGTTCCAGGACACAGCAGTGGTGGGGGAGGTAGGAGGGATTTGCTGAGCTGGGACTGGCTAGCAGAGTCCCTCTCCCTCTGTCTGAGCCCTCAACCCTGGAGGACAGAACAGGAAAAATGAGATGAGGACATCCAGCCCTGAGCAAGGAACTAGCTCAGTGTCCTAAAACCGAGGTCCCAACCAGCATGCCCTGGGCCTTCTCCCCTTGCACCTGGGAACAGAGGCCGACGGGCTCTGCCACCCAACACACAGCATGTGGCTGGAAATCAGGGTGCTGGAGCCAGGCCAACGTTTGCCTTTTCCTACACGTCTCGGCAAAGCTCCTCCAAACCCTCGCTTCCCCCAGCAGGAAAAGCATATGTTCTTTCCATATAGAGGAGAAATTGTTCCACGAGTGAGTAAGCCTCTTGGCGGCGGAGCCCGGCCCAGCCCTCAGCACGCCGGGCAGGAAGCGGGCAGCCTTCTTACCGCTATTGGAACCAGCCCGGGCTGGCTCCTGACTCTCCAAGACAGCGGCCCTTTGCACGGGGCCTTTGGTGGGGAGCGGGGCCTGGGTAAGTGCCCGAAGACAGTTAGCAGGCCATGCCAGAGAACCCTTTCCCTGAACAGAAGCACCATCCTCCATGCAGGCCGGGCCGGGCTGGGCAGAGGAGGGCTGGAAGGCTGAGGGGTTTCAGGCGGCAAAACAGGCCTCAGTCAGAGGGGACTCGGGTGCATCGAGGGAAGCGGGGCCATTCCAAGACTGTTCCCCTCCAAATTCCCCTCAATGCCTCAGGGTTAGGTGGCAACAAGTGACTGCATCCTTGGTGCCTGTATTCATTCTGCCAGATCTGTGTGAACATATGGGTCTTTCCAAAGCCAGCCCTGGCCGGAGGGTGCCACTCATTTGCTTGTCCCAGCGGAGTCCTGGTTCCCACCGCACATCTTCCCCATCTAAGAATCCACTGAGAATGGGGCTGAGGAGAGCGGGCAGAGAAGGGACAGGCAGGCTGGGTGGCGGGTAGGCGGCGGAGGGTGGAGGGGGACAGAGGGGAAATGGGAAGGGCTCCGCAGAAGAGGAAACCATTGAAGAAATTGAGGGCATTAAACCTGGAAAGTCAAAGACTCGGGGTAGAGGTGTGAGAAATGAAAGTGATGTAAAGGTGGGTGACAGGTCACGACGTACGAGTGGGATTGGATTTATCCCAGGTCGGAGCAGGCATTTCCAGTTCTGCACGGCACGTTGGGGCTGAGTCACTCCTTTATTTCCCGCACTGGTCCCTTATGCATTTACGCCTATGGGCATTGGAAAAGAGGTCCTGACCAGGCCAGCCCTTCTTCTTCTCTTGGCTCACCTTGTAGGCCCGCCTGGGACGGGAGGAGGCAGCAGGACCTTCCCATGGGCTCAGGAGAGACCACACGCCATGAGCTGCCCTGCCCCGGCTGGGGTGCCGGATAGAACTTCCACCTGCTGGAAACCCTCATCACTGCCAGCCCCACCCCCACCCTCCTCAAGCTGCCATTAAACTGGGATCCACCCAGGTCCCCGGGGACTGGGTCTTCCGACCCAGGACAGCAGAGTCCTTCTCCTGGCCTTCCTGCCCTGGAGCAGAGATAGTCCCCCAGGGTATTTCGGGTCCTGGAAGGGAAGAGATAGAAGGGACAAAGTGAGGAAGGTCACCCCCCGACCCCCGGTCCAAGAGGCGGCACAGGGGACAATGACAGCAGCCGTGGGTCTGAAGGAAGGTGGGGCAGGGTTGGGGAGGTGGGGGTTTGGAAACCAACCGGGGGAGCCAAGTGGGGCCACCAAAGGGCTCGGGAAGGAGAGAGCAGGAGCCAAGGCGATGCTAAGCCCAGCTGGGCCTTGTCCCCGTGTGCCCGGGGTGGAGCCCAACCTGCTCTTGCCAGGACTGAGGGCTGGAGAGCAGGACGGCATGGCCTCCCCGGGCAAGGAGAGGTCACCTACACCCTGTATAGGCCGGGCCAGATGGCAGGGCCGTTTCACTTCCCTGGCCCCGTCTGCTCCCACGATAGCTATGGGAGTTGGGACTAATATTCCCATTTTACAGAAGAGGAGACTGAGGTGGAAGTTGTGCAAGGCCAAGTCTAGCTCCAGGGTAAGGGCGGGGCTCGTGGGCCTTTACCAGCTCTGGGTCGCTGGGAGCAGTCTGCTGCAGACGACAGACCTCGTCCCAAAGCAGCCACTCAGCAAACATCACCTTCCTGTCCTCTGTGCTTTACAGTCTCATGGAAGGACACCGACGCTTGCAGGCCACGGCTCCTGTTGTGCTGGGACCCAGGTAGGTCCGGAGTCCTGAGATGCAACCCAGAGGCAGGCCTTTCTTTTGATTATGATCTGTAGTGCCGGGCGTCATTTGTGGGTCCCCACCCCCACCAGCTAGGGCTGGGCACCCTGCTCATGGGCTCTGCACCCTCTTCTCCGTCCGCCTGATGGGTGGGGCACCTGCTCTCTGAGCTGAGACACACAAGCCACGTCAGCCTGACTCTGCAGCTGGTGCTCTCTACTGGCTGTACAGAAGGTGGGGGTCTCGCGAGTGGGGCCGGGGCCCACAGCACATGCCCCGGGCCCCAGGGTCCTGGCCCTCAGCTCAGTGCCCACCTGGGAGGTAGGGTGGGCGCTTCCTCACGGGGGACATCCAAGCACCATAGCTGGAAGCGGGAAGCTGGGTTAGAGACTTCCTTGGGGACCACCTTTGCTCTGGGAATCCCAGTTCATCCTTCCTTTCAAGGTGAAAAAGACCTTGGCCTGGGAGGCTGAGAGCCAGGGCTCACCTTCCAGGCCAGTCCCTGCTGCAGCCCCCAGCGGTTTTTAAAGACACAGCCCCTCACACCTCTTGCTTCGAAGTGTTCCAGGGCTGGTCCCACCTTCCTGGCCCCAGGGACCCACAGATGGCCCAAGGGCGCCACCTGGTGGCCAGTCTTAGCCAGACGGGGCAGCTGCAGAAGGCGGGGTCACAGCCCTGAAAGTCCGGCGTGGGTGAGCAATGGGGCAGGTGAGCACCTTAGGGAGCAAGCTGCCCCTCTCTGCTCTCCCAGACCTGGGAGGGATGGAGCTGCCCCACCGCCGGGTTCCCAGAGGTCCGTGTGCAAATGGGCAGGTGGGCCCTGGTGGTCCTCTGACCATTAGCCAAGGGCTCTCAACCATCAGCCGATGTTTCACTGTGGTTCTCGAAGCGCAGTCGAGACCAGCAGCAGTGGGATCAACGGGGAACTTGTAGGAAATGCAGATTCTGGGCCTCCACCCCAGACCGGCGTTGGCAATTCTGGGGGTGCGGTCCAGCACCCTCCAGGTGAGGCTGATGCTCGGTCCAGTGTGAGAACACTGTGCTTGGGGCCTGGGGTTGCTTAACAAGCATCTGGGGTGACTCAACAGTCCTAGACATCAGAATCCCCCGTGGAGGGTCTGATCAGCATTACCTGCCGCCCATCCCCCCCCCAACACACACACAGTTCTGTGTCTAGAGACACTGGACACAGATTAAAATAACTCCACAGCTGATTCCAGTGACCAGTCTCTGCTCTGCTGTGGACTCTTCTCCCCTCTGGGGTTCGGCTCCCGTGGCAGAGCACAGCTGCTCTCCCCGGGGTCTCCTCGATCAGCGAGCATCAGAGATGGTAACCAACTGAGGTTTGCTGGGTGGGTGTTAAAGCTCTGACAGGCGTGATGCTGGGGGCTCTGTGTGCGACAAGAACCCTATGAATTGTTACAATTCCCCCACTTTTTAGGGGCACTTGGCTGGCTCAGTCCGTGAAGCATCTGTCAAATAAATAAATAAAATCTTTTTTTTTTTTAAGAGTTCCCATTTTACAGGTGGAGAAACTGATGCACAGAGTTCAGTAACTCACTCTAGCTACTAAGACTCTATCCTAGTTCTGACTTCAAAATCCACTACCTTTGCTTCCTCGTTTTACAAGAGGGGGGATGACTTGCTGAAGGTCACCACATTCCCCGGACCTCGGCTTCAGAGCAGTGGCACCCATTTCAAGATGGCACGAACGGACCTCTGAGCCAGGAGCCACTGCCTCAGGAAAAGGGAGGTGGAGGCAAGGGTTTAGTTACATGCCACCTCGATTCCTCCAACTGCTTCTTGGACGCACAGGAGTCAAGATTATTTGGGAAACCAATACCCCCAGTCCCCCACCCCATTCCAGCTTGGTCTTGACCGTCCTCTAAGCGTCACGCAGACTGGGGCCCATCACCCTTCCCCGGCTCAGAGAAAGGCTAGGGGAGTATCCAATGATGGAGTAGAAAAAATATAGAGATATTTTATTACTAAAGATGCATTTTCCAAAAGCAAGGGGGTTGCTGTCTTGAAGAGACGATGACATTGGGGACGTTCGGGCGGAAGGGGCAGGCAGCCATCAGCGGGCTCGAAGCCGCTGGGAGAGCTTGTAGAGCTCCATCGAGGCCCTGGCGTCCTCCACCGAGCTGTGTCCGGAGCGGCTGTTCTGTAAACACAGGCGCAGGGGGAGGGCTCAGGTGGGGCTGAATGCAGAGACCCCGGGTGACCCGGGCCTTCCCTGCTCACACCCCGGGTTCCCGGACACCAAGGTGGGTCCGTGAGCGAGTCTCCCCCGGCTTCTGATGCCCCTGGACTCAGCAGGTTGCTGGAGCAGGCCTGGCCTCAGCTGTCAGCCCCGGAGCTGGGGCCCTAGGCCCAGGCGTGGCCAAGCACAACTTCCAGCCTCCGGAGAGCGGGGCTATGCCCTTGGGGTGGGGGTGAGGGGCAGACTTGCTGTCCGACACATAGGGAGCCCCGCGGCACGGGCCCATATTAAAACAATAGGTCAAAACGATGTTTTTAAAGCACCACCTCAGTGAATGCACATGATGACCATTCTGTCCCTGGTCCCGTGGGCCACGAGGCTAATGGAGGGGCCCAAATTCAGGCCCCTTCCCGGCGACCTACACAATTCCCGGTCACCCGGCCAAGTGGTGCCTCCTGCCTCAGGCCGGAGCTCACCCTTCAGACTCGTGCACACCTGCCTTCCTCTCCACCCACCCATCCTTCACCCCTTCAGGCTAATGGGCTACTCTTCCTCCCAGCAAGGGTTGCTCAAGCATGGGGCGGGCCCAGCCCTGCTCAGCCGCGCGTCTCCAGCACCCCATCCAGCCCAGCCCAGAGTAGGGGCTTGTAAGTATCTGCTGGCCAGGGAAAGCCCCATATGCAGCTGCTACTGCTATTGTGCGGCCCACCTCGGTAATCTCGCGAGAACCAACACCCGGACGCCTTCGCCCAGGGCTTGCTGGAGGTGACAGATGCTGAGGGGTGGGGGCCTGGGGAGCAGCAGCAGCCATGCCTGAGGGGAGCTGTCCGGAGCCCCCGCTCCCTGCGTAAATCTGAGGTCTGTGGGATTTCCCAGAGGCCCACGCTGGGGTTAAACTTTGGTTATCCACGCAGTACTTGGCTTGAGTTTGAAAGCACCCAAACAAAACCTGTATGGGGTGCCTTCCCTTCCCTGCCTGTCATCCCCGCTCTCCTGGAGCGTCCTGGGGTCAGCTCTGGAGTAAAGCTCCCACACTCTGGTGCTTATCTGGGGCCAGGGGCTGGGGATGCCCGGAGCCAGCACCCGTTTCTTGCACGATCTCTTAGGACTTGGGGAAGGACTTGCTGGGGGGCAGAGCATCTTTGGGGCCAAATGTGGGGGTTCTGGAGCCCCTGGGGGCTGTGAGAACCTTGTGGGAGGAGGAGGCCTCTGAAGCCTGGAAAAGTGGGAAGACGGAGGTGGGTGGGGGGCGTCTCACCTGGATGCGCCGGTGGAGGAGAACCTCGCTGAGCACCCGGAGGGAGGCCTGCTTGTGGGACGGCAGGTTGGCCTGCTGCAGCAGCACCTTGTCGGTGGACGTGTCGTGGACAGAGTAGTTGACCATGTCCTCCTTCAGCGCCTGGAAGTCGTGCTTCAGGTCGTGGCCCACCACCAGCTTGCCTCTCAGGAGCTGCAGGATCTGGCCAGGAGGACACGCAGCCCGCACCTCACGCAGGGTCCTCTGCGCGGGCCTGGGGCCACCCGAAGGAAGAAACCCCCCCCCACCCCTTGACTTGCTGTGGGACTTTGAGCCAATTGTCTCCCCTCTCTGGGCTTCCAACCTGTCGTCTACAAAATGGGGAGACTGGACGGGCCCCTCCTCACGCTGCGTGGTTGCGGTCGGTGCCAAAGGGGAGTCCCTGACTCCTTCAGTGGCTTCCACGGAGAAGAGCAGTGGCCGCGGCTGAGCATGTCCCACGGGCCGGGCTGAGTACGTCACACGTGTTAGGTCGTCTAATCCTTTCAACAACCCTCACTCTGGCAGACAGCATAGCAACCCCGCAAAGATGTGGACGCCTTACCCGGTAGAGGGGAGTTAAAGTTGCAGACAGGCTTCAGGTAGAAGACGACCTCCCAGGAAGGGCGATCGCCTGCACGGCCCATGGGGGCCCCACATCATCGCAAGGGCCCTCAGATGTGGAGGTCAGTGATTTGCCCTGAGGGCCTGACAGGCAGCTGCTGGCCTGGGGGAGTGAGGCGGGGGCCTCTAGAAGCTGGAAAAGGCAAGGAGACGCACCCTCCTGCAGAGCTTCCAGAAAGGAGCACGGCCCTGCCCACCCCTCGATTTCGGCCGTTGGGACCCGTGCCAGACTCCCAACCTGTGGAACGGCTAGCCAACATGTCTGTGGTGCCTCAAACCACACGGCTTATGGTTTCGTTACAGCAGAACCGTAAGAAGCTAACAGAGCCGGGAGAGAGGCCTGTCCTTGATGAACATTTTGCGGAGGAGAAAAACTGAAGCCCTGAGAAAGGGAATTAATTTGCCCCCTGGTTACTCTGTGGATTTTAAGCAAGTTTGCGGGTCCCTTGGCGCATCCGCTCTCCAAAGGTGGAGCTCAGCCACCCTCGCCTCGAATGAATACGGGCCCGGCTACATGACTTCTGACTTCTCGGGGGCCAGACCCTCAGCAGCCTCGAGCTACCCCGAAGCCACCTGCCAGAGAGACCACAGGGAGCCGGAGAGCCAAAGCCGAGGGGCCCCAGCAGGTGAGCTGGCAAAGCTCCCGATGATTCCGGCTCCCGGCCTGTGGAACACCTGAGCCCACAGGCCAAGCCCCGTCCAGATTGCAGATGTGTGAGCACAGTAAATATTGACCTTCTGTGAACCACTATGTTTGGAGGTTATTTGCTAAGCACCATTAGGTAACTGGGACAGTCACACAGCCAGTAAGTGACTTAGTGACAGAGCGAGCCTTCAAAGCCACACTCAGAGCAGGCCGGCTCCAGGCCTCCGCCAGCCACGCAGCCGAGCTTTAGGGGCGCAACCGGAGGCACCCACACAGGTGCCTCCATCCTGACTCCATTCTCGTGGCAGCCCCGTGGACAGCCTCCTACCTCGGGCCCCATGGGCCGGTCCCCTTTCTTTACTATGGCTGTCATCAGGATGCGAGGGGGACCTTGGGCGAAGCCGTATCAGGCCCTCCCTGGAGGGGCAGCTTAGGGCTCAAGCCCCTCTTTGGTCAGCTCTTCAGTAGCTTCTGTCCTGTCTTCTGGCTAACACCCTCCCATGCCCTGCTTCTGCTTCTAGTGGCTTCCTGGGACATCACATGGGCATTACGTGCCCTCCCTTGGCCACCACAGGATTGCTGTGGACAGTCCACAGAAGGGGAAGACAAGGCTTGGATACATGAGGCGACCTGTCTGTGGGGTCTGTCCATCTGCCATCAGCGAGCAGTGTCACCAGCCCGCCCATCACCACATCCCCCATTCCCGTGGTTTGTCAGTTGTCGGGCCACCGCTGGACAGAGCCCGCAGTCAGCCTGGGGACTGGGGAGACTCGCTGGAGGAATGGAGCTGGGCTGGGTGGGGAGACACCACAATGGGCTGAGGCATCCCCCGGGGAAGCATGGGACATCTGGGATTCGGGGTGTCACTGCTGCTGACCCAGGACTCATGTGAGCGCTGAGGGCACACGGCCTCAGCAGCAGCTGAGTCCTGTGTGTGGAGGAAAGCGCAGGGCCGCACTGGGCAGCCGGGGGCCACACACCCTTTCTCACTGATATCCTTTAACATTCCTGAACAATGTGGCCTGTTTGCCCCCAGTGAGGAGCTGGCTCGGGCCCAGTTCACACAGAGCCCTGAGGGACTCTCTGCCATCCCAGAAACTGCATCCACAGGTCCCAGGAGCCAAGAGGACCGAGTCACTGGGACTTGGTGGCTTCCTGGGAACTTAATCACTTCTGGAACCCGAGGGTCCAGGGGCAGGGGACTCATGACAAGACAGTATACGAGGAGTGGACAAGCAGTAGGAAGAGGAAACCGGGAAAAGAAAAAAATGTCTTTGGCAGGGAGATGCCAGCAACTTCTCAGGGCAAGGGAGAGACAGCGGGTCCTCGCTGTGTGCTCTCAGGTCAAAGACCGTATGTGGGCTTCGGTTCCCCAGGCGGAAGGTGAAGGCAAGGAGAGGTGAGGCTCCGGCGACTTCCTGAGGCAGAGCTGGGGAGGGATGTGGGGGGCCTGCCGGAGCCCGGGCACGGGAAGGTGCCAGCTGGGGGGCCCTCAGGGCTGCGGGACCTGCTTTGAGTCAGCGTCAGGAGGCAGGTCTGTCGGACACAGGGGCAGAGTCTCAGATTCCTGGAGAGCAGAGTGGGGAGGAGAAGGACACACTCACCCATCTGCTCTCGTCACCGGCCCTGGGACAGGGACTCTCCTCACCTCAGCCGGGAACCTCTCAGCTCAAGGAGTTCAATTTCCCTGCCACAGAGGAGGGGACTGGGGGCCAGAGACGTGGAAAGGTGTGCCCAGGGGACACAGCTGGTGAGTTGAGAGCTACAGTGTGGTGTCTGGAACTGCCTGACCCCGTCCCTGTCATTACAGTTGTCCTTGTCACCACCTGCTGGAACCTAGCTCAGCAGTAGTAATGTCGGAGGGCGTGGAGGGGGATGCTGGACCCATGTCAGCTCTCAGTGAGGACTTCCTGAAGCAGAAACGGGGCCCCTGTGAGGCTGGAGTCATCATACCATCTTCCTGATGGGGAAAGCGGGGCACAGAGCGGCGTGTGTCTGTGTCCCATGGCGGGGGGTGACGGCCAGGGATGCCGCTGCATTCCCACTCCCATTCCAAGTATTTCCCAGAGGTTCCTGATCAGAAAAAATCACCTGGGGCCCTTGTTAAAAATCCATAGGGCCAGGCCCTCCTGTCACCTTCTGGAGTGGCCCTGGTCCCCTCCTTCATCCAGTCCCCCGCCTTGCTCTGCAGGTGCACCCACCCCAGCTTGTGCCCGTATCCCGCAAGGCTGCTTCTGCTGGGGGAAGCCTGGATGGTGAAGCCATCCTCCTCCATCTGGCCGGGCCCCAGGGACACCGGCCCGGTGGCAGGGCCCCAACAGGGCACTTGGCCCCAGCACGGGTGGCCTTGGCAGTAGCTGAGAAACAGCTGTAGGAGGCCTCCCTTCTGCTGCTTTTCCCTCCTAAACCTGGAGGCTTCATGGGATTCAGCTGGTTTGTCTGCCAACTAAAAATGAAATTATCCCTCCCCAATCCTGATCATGGGTAGATGCAACTCAATGGACTGGGTTAACATTAAGAGAGCATTAACTTACAAAAATACACTATAGGTGATTAAAAATTACTATGAAAAGATGGGGCGCCTGGGTGGCTCAGTGGCCTCTGCCTTTGGCTTGGGTCCTGGGATCGAGCCCCGCATCGGGCTCTCTGCTCAGTGGCGAGCCTGCTTCTCCCCCCCATTCCCTCTGCCTGCCTCTCTGCTTACTTGTGATCTCTCTCTCTGTCAAATAGATAAATAAAATCTTTAAAAAAACAAATTACTATGAAAAGAAAAAACAGCATTCATTAGCCCACCAGGTGAGAGGTCGGAATCTGAACACCGAGTTGTATCACAGCTTTTCTGTGTGTCCTTAAGTAAGTTGCTGCCCCTCTCTGGACCTGTCTCCTCCTGTGCTGACAGCCTGATCTGTGGGGCTCTATAGACCAGCTGTTCAACTTGGGCATTCTTGATGCTTCTTTGGTGTGTGTGTGCTGGGGGGAGGGGCTGTCCTGCTCGTTATAGGATGGTTTAGCCCCATCTCAGTCCTCTCCCCACCGGATGTCAGTAGCAGGTCCCCTGCCCCATTTATGACAACCAGAAATGTCTCCAGATACTGCTAAACATCCCTTGGTGGGGGCACAATAACTCCACACTGGGAACCGCCGCTCTAGATGACGGTCACACCTAGAGGTTTCAGAAGATGACAGGCAGTAACTTCCCACTATGGAAGTAATCAAACCACATTACAAAAAATCAAAACAAATAAAGGAGTGGTGGAATCCCAGGCACATTATCAGTGGCCTGTGGCAGGAACCCTCCTGGGTGCACTGGGTGGGGTTTCTAGCTCCCCAGAGACCTGCTGGCCGCCACGGGCTGGTCTATGGCTCACCACGAGCCAGGCCCACTCGCCACTCCCGTCGGAGGAAGAGACAGGCTGGTGAGCAGCGTTTGGAAGTTGTCTGCATGAAACCAAGGCCTGGCGAGCCCTAGGCTCACCTGAGAGGTGAGGTGAGGACCCCCAGCTCTGGGGGTCCGATAGATGGCTGATAAGCTTCTCCCCTTTGGGAGCCCCCAACCAGCACATCTTGGGACCCGTGAGCCTGGTCTCTGACTTTGGGATTAGCACACGGGGGCGACAGAGTGGGATCGAGCTGCCTCTGTGTCCTTGTTTGTGGAAACAAAGGACAGCTGTTGCCTTGTACCATATCTTCACGCACAGGCTGTGCCTGACCCTGTCCCTCACATTTGCCGGCCACCTAGCATTCAGATGAGACCTTTATACACGTTCATGATGGGATCTGAATCTCCCAGAGCAAATTCTGGAGGCAGGATTTGGGTCTCCGCTCTACGCCTTCCTTGGAGAGCCTGCGCAGCCTTGCGCCTCAGTTTGCTCATCTGTAAAATGGGGCAGCGATGCCGGTTAGCTACTTCCCAGGGCTATTGTGGGGAGCAAAGGCAGGGGTGCATGGCAAGTGCTTAGAACAGAGCCAGAACACGATGCTGGATGCACCTGTCCTGCTTCGCCCCCTCCCCGTGGCCCAGACACTCCTACCAAAGGGCGCAGAGAAGTTTAGCAACAAGCCAGAGGACACACACCCACGTCCATGCACGTCTAACAAACAGTGTGCTTGCCCTCCAGTCCCCGGCTGGGTGTGCATCACTGCCTCTTGGCAGCCAAGGCCGGCATGAGGGTGGAGGCAACTTTGTGGCACGCAGCTACCGGAACACCTGTATTTTATGAAAATCAATTCAACTCCGATCCCACAAACATTCTCAGGGTACCTTCTGTGCACAAAGCACACCACCCAGTCTGGGGGCAGAGTAAACACAGCAGCGGCCTGGAACTAGGCAGACCAGGTGTGCGGACAGGCAAGCTTTAAAGTACAGGGGCCACAGCAAGAGAACTAGAGGCCCCACGCGGGGAGGTGGCGATGATGGGCAGGGTGGGGGTGGGTAAGCCCTGTCAGCATGGGGCAGGGATCTAGGGGCAGGGAAGGGGGCCGGGGAGAGTAATGGTGTGGCTGGATAGTGACTGAGTCATGAAAGCAGGCAGGAAAAGCAGGTTGGTAGGGTGCGGAGGTCCATGAGTATTGTGCTGGGGGACCTTGGGCAATGGGGAGCCATGGGAGGTGTTTGAACAGTGGTATGGGGAAGCTGTGATCTGAGCCAGGCCTGGGAAAGTTTCTCTGGCACAGCTTACCTGCCGTTCAGGCAGAAAATGAGAGCCAGAATCTAAGACCACAGTTCTCAAGGGAAGTCAGAAAGGGGAGTCAGACCGATCATCTGGGTGTCTGCCCTTCTCCCTCCACGGGCACAGTTAGTGACCATCACTGTGGGCCCAGCACTATGCTCCGGGCTACAGGCCATAGCACTCCATCCAAACTCCAAGGGCCAGGGAGGAGGCATCAGCAGTCACGTCACTGATGAGTAAACAGGTTCAGAAAGTTCGAGAACTTGCCTAAGGTCACACAAGCCGGTGAATGACGGAGCAGGAAATACAAACCTCAGATATGGTTCAAAGGTCTGCCTGCCTCAGATATGGTTCAAAGGTCTGCCTGGTCTAGAGATTCTTGGCTCCCTGTCTGAACGACTGCTCAGTGGGCAGTCCCCGGGCAGGGTTCCGAGCTACACACAGGAAGCCTGGGGCCTAGCACAATCTGCAAATGAGATTCAAAGCATTCTGCCCCAAATCTGGGTGGGGACCAAAGGCATGCAGGGACTTGGCTGCGTGTCCAGGCCAGGGGATGCGAGCAGGATTTCCCTGCTGCCTCCTCTCCTGCTGTCCCCTGCTCTGGGCTCTCCTGTCCTTTTTGCTGCTCTACCAGCGAGAGGGTGGGGGGCTGGGGAGAGGAGGAGGAGGACAGGGAGGAAGGATGGGGATATTTAGTCCACCTGGCCTCTCAATGGGGATCTGAGTGTGGGGAGCTCTTGCCATAACCCTGGGCCTCCCGCTGACCCCTGAACAGCCAACCCACCTCTTCCTCATGTTGCCCTCCCCTGCTTGGTGACTCCCTTTTGGCTGCCTCCAACCTGACAGTTTTTTCTTCCCAGTCCTCTGTCTGCTGATGCCTCCCCAGGGGCTCTGACTCGTCCCCTATTGACATCTCTTTCCTCACTACCATCTATCCGCCACAGCACCCCCCACTCTAGTCTCCTCAAAACTTGGGTTTGATCCTGCCATGCTCTTGCTCAAGAATCTTCCATGGCTCTCTGTGGCCCACTGGGTTGCAGACACAGGCTCCGCCCATCCCTCGAGAATACCACCAGCCTCAAGGAGTCTTTCCAGAACCACGCTGATGACTCAGGGCTCCCTGGCCTCCTCTTAGCACCTAGACGACAGTGCTGTCTGGTAGACCTATAACGTGAGCCACATGTATAATTTTAAATCACCTAATAGCCATATTTAAAACGGTAAAAATAGGGGAAGTTAGTTTTCATGTTTCGTTGAACCTAAGATTCCAAAATGCTATCATTTTAACATGTCAGTGATGTAAAAAACTACTGAGGTCTTTTATGAATTTTTTAACACAAGTCTTTGCAGTCCCGTGTGCATTTTACATTTATAGCACATCACGGTTCGGACCAGTCATTTTGGGGAGCTCACAGCCACATGTGGCTCGGTGGCCCCCTTGGACACACAGAGGTCTGGGCCTGAGCTCCGAGTCCTGACCACCTTCTGTTACGTGAACCTTTGCAAATCACTTAGTGCTATGGGTTGAATTATGTGCCCCCACCCTGATTCATGTTGAAATCCTAGCCCCCAGGACCTCAAAATGTGACTTATCTGAAAATCGGGTCATTGCAGATGTAACTAGCAGAGACCCTCAGGCCCTAATACAACAGGACAGCTGTCCTCATACATGAGCCCCAGGGGCACAAAGCACGCCGCAAGGAGAACACCACGCAAACCTGAAGGCAGAGACAGGGGTAAGCCAGGCCACAGCCAGGCCGGCCAGCCGACCCCAGATGCTGGGAGAGAGACACGGCACCGACCCTCCCGCACCACAGAAGGAAGCGAGCCTGCCCACACCCCAGCCTCCACGACGGTGGGACGATGAATTTCTGTTGTTTGAGCCCCCAGTCTGCAGCAAGTCGCTACAGTGGCCCCAGCAAACCAATACACTTAGTTCCAGCGGGACTCAGTTTCTGCATCTCTAATTTGGAGATAACAGACGATCGACTGTAGCAGCTAACATTTCTCGAGTCCTTACACAGGCACTCTGTCTGGGCGCTCTCTCAGTCCTCACGATAATCCTAGGAAATTGTAATTCTTACACCCAGTTTGTTACAGGTGTGGGAAACTGGGTACACAGAGCGGCTGCCCCAGTAACTTCCCCGAGGTAACTCAGCTGCTAAGGCAGCAGCCAGGATTCAAGACTGGCCCTGCTGAATCTTGAGTTTACAGCCCCAGAGAACCCTCCCGGTGGCTGTCCCGTGAGGTGGGCGCGAGCTCCGGCCTGCCAGTGAGCAGGAAACAGGAACCATTACTGCTTATGTTTTGTTTCTCTCCAGCGCCCGGAGCCTGGGGTGCGGTGTGTGCACCTAGGACAGACCTCGTTCCTCTCTGTTCCTCAGGGACTCCCCCCCACCAAGCCCCAGCAGCCTAGAGACTCATGAATTTACATGGCCTTGTAACCTTCTGAGTATCGACTAAAGCTGGTGCAAGAGAGGTTGAGTTTGCTTTCCATCTAGTGATTCAGTGAAACGGAAACAGAAACAGAAACTGGGACCTAAACAAGTTATCACAACTAGGTGAACCGGGAGGGTGGGAAATCTCGGGGCCACATACTGACCTCGAGCTGATGGAAGGCCTACCGTGGGGCTGGGCACAAGCTCTCCCCTCGGTCCAGGGGCTCCAGGCCTGTTCTCCAACTCCAGGAGCTCCCTACCAAGAGGCTGACCAGGGGCAGCCAGGGTAGAGAAAAGAACCTCACCATGAGGAACCTCAGGTGGGACCGGGTTCCCCCATCATAGGGCCAGCAGGGCAGACCAGATGCCCCGAAGGCCGCTCCCAGATGTGAGTCTAAGGCTGAGGTCAGGAGGCCTTCACAGGGATGCCCCAGAGCTCCCTCACACAGAGGTGGGGGAACCTGCCACATCTGGGGTCACAGGTTGCAGACCTGGCACCCGGAGAAGGTGCCCGGGAAGTGTGCACGTGAATGTGTGTGCCAGAGTCCGGCCTGGCCCGCAGACAGCCCTCTACTCACCTCCTGCCTGGCCACGGCGAACGGTGTGGCCGCCTCCATGTTCCGAGGTGTGATCCCGCTGAACCGCGTCCTGTAATCCATGATCTCCCCCTCGGGCCGGATGAACTGGTCGTAGAGCACCATGCCATTGATGTCCACGAGGCTGCAGCGAGCCAAGCCGCTCCCCTGGCCACGCCCCAGCCCCACCATCTCGCAGTCGATGGCCACCACCGCAGGGCTGCTTGCCATGCTTCAGCGGGACCCTCAGACGTGCTGGGGAGGCGAGGTGGGTGGGGGGGGCAACAACTCAACATGAGGACACTGTGGCCCCAGGTGTCCTCTGCCACCACCCCACCAGCCTGTGCCCTCTGCCCTGTTTGTCACGAACACCACCCAGCAAAAAGCAAAGGGGGCCTCTTGCCACCCCGCCCGGCTTCTGGAGCCCAGCGGTGCTGGGGTCCTCGGGGACGGGCAGGCCACCCCCTCCCCCACCCCCGCCCCAGCTCCCACTCACCTGCCCGCCTCTGCTGCCCTCGGCTCACATCTGCCTCTCTGGTGCCACTTCTCCGCTACTGCAGTCCCTCCAAGTTGTGAGTCATCTCTGACTTCACACCGGGAATCCCGACCCTGTTTCAGTTTCTGGTTTTTATCAGGTGAAGTCAGGGGCCGGAGGCCGGGCACGTGGGCTGGGCTGCTCCAGCCTCCCTGTCCTCGAAGGTCACCTTTGCCCCTGCCCGCAACCCACGCCCCCACCCAAGTGCACGGAGCCCTCCTCTTCTCAAACGATGGGCTGATGGGAAGCCAGCGGCTTGCCACACCTTTCCTCCGTTTCTCACCTTCCGTCTGTCCAGAGAATAAACATCCCCAGGATCGGGGACCACAGAATGTCCCACAACTTCCGGGGCCACGACCAACCTGATACTTAGAGACGTCTCTAATGGGGGCAGGGGGACCTGGCTCTTGGGACATTGCAGCCATCAACAGGGAGGGCATGAGAAGTCTGGGTGCGAGTGGGGCTGGCCTACCTTCCCCCCCACCCAGGGAAGGCGAGCTGGGAGGGAGCCCCTAGAGTCACCAGTGCCTCAGGGGTGTCTCAGAACCTGCCATCTGTATGCCCTCAACGGGCTCTGCCTTTAGCTGGGCTGACACTGTTTGAGGACAAGGAAAAGAGAGCCTGGATAGAGCCCCACCGGCCTGGCCACACTTCCAGGGGTTACACTCCCTCCCAGGCTAGAACCCTGGCCTCTTACAACCATGCCTGACAACACAGAGAGCCCTCGGTATTTATCGAATAGATGAATGAGTTACAGCTGAGACAAAAACAGAACCAGCTTTCAGTGAGGAAGTCGTCACCATGGACTGGCATCGAGAATCTTGCCTCCTGCCCCAGACGCACGAGGAGTAAGCTTTGAGCCGTAGGATCTGATTTCCCCCAAATGTCACCGAGGTTTGTGGCTTGTAAAGGAATTTCCCCAGGTCCCTGGTGTTTTCACCAAGTTACATCTGACTGTAGCGGACCTCACCTCAAACATGAAATCCAGTCCTGAAATACACCTTAACAGTAGGGCATAGCTCATGGCTGTCGTTCCATGGGTTTGAATTTGAGATAGGAGATTATTTTGGGTTCCCATCCTGAATGAGCAATTTTTGCTTGACTTCAGACTGTTAGGGGACTTTTTGTTTCTCAAATGCATGAAGGATTATGCCCTGATTTAGGGAGATGAAGCAGAATGTGTTACTTTTTGCGAAAGTGCATTGAAAAAGTAACCCCCTCGAGATTCAGTGGTGTGGTTTCTGCTTCTACGGTCCCCTTAGGACCCCACGCATCTCACGCCCTCACCCTGCTTGGCCTCCGCCCGTCCCAGAGAGAACACATGCCCGCCACTCCTGTTCTTTGCCTCACAGTCCAGAGCCTGCTCCATGGTCACCCTCCCTGCCTTTCCCCGTGGCCCCTCCCCACCAGCCCATCAGCTCCCGGGTCTTCCCACCTCCCCCTTCACACCCTGCTCCACACTGTCCTTTAAATCCGAAGAGATTTCGTTTCCCCATATCTAATCTCTTGCACTGTTTGGGACAGCACTTTGCTCGAGAACCTACAGTGGTTTCCTGTCGTCCAAAAAAAAGCAAACCTCAACTCCCCTGCAGTTTCCAGGACCCTGTCCCCTCTCCACCAGCCTTCCCCATCTCATCTGGCATCACTGTTTACACCTAAACTGGAGGCCTTTGTGTATTCACATGGTTTCTTCTCCCACACTCCCCCCTCCACTGCCCCCAGGGCCTCCCATTCTTGGCTATAGGGCAGGATCAGGTATCTATCTTTGGTCCCACTGCAAAGGTCAGCCCCTCTCCATGCCTTCACCACTCCTTCTCACTTCCTCCCACCTCACTGGCTTTGTCTGGTCCCCAGGGCCTGGGTGGGCCTGTGCTATCCAACCTCCATCTCCACCTGGAAAGCTCTGCCTCCAGGTTATCTACCCAGTTTGCTCCCTCTCCCTTAGGCTTCCCACCAAGGCCTTTTCTGGCCTCTATTTAAAACTGGACCTCCTCTCCCTGCTGCATTTCTTCTGCAGGAATAATCAGCGCCATCAAAAATACCGTGATTTTACTTGTTCATTTACTGTTCCTGCTCCCACTTTGTGGTTTGCTGCAAGGCCCCCAGCACCTGGAGTCCTGACTGGGTCCTGTGGAATTTTTTTCGCAGGTATTGTGGGCACTGAGGTTCGACACAGGCACCATGAAGCCCAGGGGAGGAAGCCCTGACCCCAGCCAGGTGGAGGGGAGGTTGAGGAGGGGCTGCTCCTAGAGGGGATGCTTCCTCGGTTTCATTGGTTCACCCTTTGGCCAGACCACACCACCCTGGCAATCTCCGGTCAGGCGACAGCAGGAAAGTGAGTCACTCAGGGCAAACCTCTCAGCCTTATGAAACACATGTCCTGTCGTCCTGTTGCAGTTGGCCCGCTTATGACCGTACAAAGTACAGGGGCTGCCACTGTGTGGCCCCAGGTACAGGGCACAGGCCGGGTGGCTGGTTCCTAACAGTGGGTCGCCCCGCTCCCTAAAGGCACCCTGACTTTTAAATTCCTGTCCATTTGTCTCAGCTGGGCCTGTGCTCCAAAATGCGCACGTGTGAATTTCTCAATCCTGGGTGGCAGGTGGAAGCGTTTCAGCAAAAGTCAGCATCTTCGTGCGGGTCAAGCAGAATCACTACTGGGATACGTTTTTAAAAAGATATAAACAGTAAAAATGAACTATGTAGATCATAAACACGCAAAAAGAGGTCGAAATACTCGTTAGGGAAATGCAAATTAAAACCAGAACGAGGTATCGCCCCACACCCACTAGGATACCCTACCGAGAAACCAAACCAAGTAATGAGCGTGGGTGAGGATGTGGAGAAATTGGAAAGCTTATGGGCTGCTGGTGGGAACGCAAACTGGTGTAGCCACTATGGAAGCCAGTATCCAGTATGGTGCTTCCTCCAAAACTTACAACACAGGACCACCACGTATGACCCAGCAGTCTCACTTCCAGGTCTACACCCGTGGGAACCAAAAGGAGAATCCCGAAGACGCTGTACACCCACGTTCACACCAACATCGCTCACCGCCAAGCGGGGGAAGTAGCCCCAGTGTTCACGGAGATCCGCAAAATGTGGTCTATGCGTCCACATGACTGTTCAGCCTTAAAAAGGAAGGAAATTCCGACACATACTAAACATGAATGAACTCTGAGGGCTGTCCACGAAGTGAAATAAGCAAATCCCAAGCGCTTGCGTTTGTATGTGTAAGTATGGTTCTACTCGTGTGCGGTAGCTAGTCAAATCCAGAGAGACAGAAAGGAGAACGGTGGTGGCCAGGGGCTGGAGGGAGTGGGGAGTTCGTGTTTAATGAGCAGTTTTAGTTTCGCACGATGAAAAAGCTCAGCAGAGTGACAGCACACTGTAAATATACTTAACGCCACTCAGAAACGGTTAAGATGGTAGCTGGCATCTTATGTGCATTTTAGCACAATGAGAACTAAACATTTTCTTGAGAAGTGAGAACACAGCTTCAGGACAAACAAACTTTGTGCTCTACAATAAGACATTGTAAAATTTAAAAAAATAAATGACATGAATTCCGTAGCCCTAAAATATTGTCACATCCCAAAGCATCATCTGGAAAGCACCCCCTACTTCAAAGGCCAAGGCACGCAGCAAGACCCCGTGCCCGGCACCGCCCTCCCACCCCAGCCTGAGAATTCAGAAAGGGCCACTTCGCTTACTTTTCTAATCTCATTTTATTCCAGAACAAATGGTTTTACAACAAAGCTGACCTTAAACCCAGTACATTTTCCCACTGGTAACAGTTTCATCTTCCTTCAGTCTGTAGCCCAAAGAATTGAAACTGCAGCCCGGGTGGGCTGGGAGTTTGGCACCAGCTACAGACTTTGAAGGACTCCAGAACAAAGCGCTGGAGCCAGGCCAGCAGAGGTCAATGCCACTGCCGGGCTCACTGCCCCGCAGACAGGGAGGGAGTGGAGGACAGGCAACCTGGAAGTAGTGTTTTCAGTAGTGTCTCCCAGTTCCTGGCCCTGCTGCTTGGATCAGACTGACATAAAAATCACTGTCATTTCCTGCACGCAGAGCGGGGGAAGCTGAGTGTACATCGGTCACCCAGCTGCAGGGAGCAGTGAGGACCCGGCACCTGCACGCGGTATCCTCAGCCCGCCCCTGCTGGGGCAGCCAAGCGTCAGCAGCCGTCTCAATCCCAGGGGCAGGCTCAGGCGTTCCCCAGAAGAGGCTGAAAGGGAGCCAGGCACCACACTGAGCACTGGGCACTTGGCCCCCAGGACAACCCTACGAGGTAGGCTACGGCATTAGCCCCATTTTACAGAGGAGGAAATGGGCTCAAGGGTGAGGTCACATATTGCTCAAGGTCCCAAAGCTTAAATTAAGTGGCAAGCAAAGATGGGGCTCAAAGGTCAGTGTGGACCTGAGCTCTTGCTTAACCTCAATACTCCCAAACTGCCCTTTGGGAAAGAAGGCAAGAGGGGTGGCAGATGAGATCCTGACAGAGACAGCTCTGGCAAGCTGCAGGCAACCCAATGACCACAATGACTGCGGATCCAAGTGCCCGAGGGGACACCAGCCCGAGTGCGGAGACGGCTTCCCTGCCTGGCCCTCGCCCCATGGACACGCACTCGGCCCCCCTACACACTGGGTAGGGGGTCCCACACGGATCCCAGAACTCAGACTGCTGCGCTGTTTCTCAGGCTTGTGCTTAAGAGAGCCTCCTGCCTGAGTCGGGTCAAAATTAATACAGCAGCGTCTCCACCCGAAGCTTCCCCGCTTCCCCCCACCCTCGGAACAGAGCCTGGTGACTCCTGGTGCCGGCTCCCCACGCGCCTGGAGGGGCCCTGCTGGTCTGTCACAGCCCAGCACCGAGGTCCTACTGTGGCGCCAGCCCAAGTTCTAGTTCGGAGAGAAAGGAAAGGAACGTCCCATAGAGTGGCCTTAATTCTACAGGCTCAGGGCAAATTCATTCTGAATCTGACGATGCCTATGGAGGAAGAGGCAGAGGGCGGTAAGAGAGGAGAGCTGTACCCCAAGTCACTGAGCTCACCACCCCAGGGAGAAGACATCACCCCGAGACAGCACAGCACGAGGGTGCTATCCACGCGTGGGGGTGGGGGGACAGCTGGGATGGTCTATCGGCACGCGTCCTCCCCCAGCTGGGTCCCTGCGCACCTGACATTTTCACAGTGTCTATTAAGTGCCATTAGCAGGCCACAGGGGTGGGGTTAAGTGCCCACAACAGCCTTGGATGGAGGGAGCCGAGAGGACAGATGGTCCCAGCTCCCTGGCCCCCCGCAACAGGCTAGCCGCACCCTCCCTACCAGGGACGACGTGCCCAGGGCTCTCCTGGCCCCCCGCACGCCCCACGCTCCACCCAGAGGCCACCTGGGAGCCTCTCCTGCCTCACTCCCTTCTGTCCTGTGGCTCCCCTGCTCCTCCACGGGTGCCCTGGGCCAGGTCCTCGGGCCAGTACTGGTCCTCCATGTACTGCTCCACGTCCGCGCTGCTGTCCGGGTCCCGGTCCTCGGGGTGGGGCGGGAGGCTGCAGGCCTGCCGCCGCTCCCACTGCACCTCCACCAGCCGGTACAGCTCCATGGCCGTTGTGGCGTCTTCCACCGACGAGTGCCCGTGCTGGCCGACCTGCGGGCGACAGCCCTTGTCACCGCCCACGGTCCCGGCTCTGCTGCTGGCCACAAACACATCCTCTCGGAATGAGTATGTGAGGCTCGGGACAGGGGGAGCCTGGGAGCTACTCAGGAAATCGAGTGTTACTGGCTGCCCCCAAGGCAGGCCCCGGCTCTCGGGCTGCCACAGGTGGGCTCTATGTGGCATGCAGGGACAGAGCCAGGAACTGCGTGGGGGACAGGTCTGAAAAGCCCAGCCCAAAAGCCTGTGGCCGGTTGTCACAATCCAGTGGGGACGAGGGTCAGTGGAGAAGACACCCAGGGTGGCCTGTACGTGTGGGACAGTTACCAGGACCCCTGCGCAGTGGAGAGGGAGAAGGACTAGCAGCGTGGAGGCTCAGCCACTGTCCAGCCCGGGGCCCCTCCTCGCGCCCGCCCCCCGCACCTGGATCTTCTTGTGTAGCAGCTGCAGGGCCAGGTCCTTCAGAGAGACCCGGGTGCGGGTGTGGAGGCCGGGCTGCTGCAGGAGGCTGGGCACGTAAGTGGTGTCGCGGGTCTGGCTCCGAGGGTGCACGTACTTGAGGGCCTGGAAGTCATTGTGGAGCGCATGCCCCACCACCACCTTGCCCTTCAGGAGCTTGAGGATCTGTGAGCAGACAGAGGAGGCGGGAAGGCCCCGCTGTCTAGGAGGCCCAGGACACGTGCTGCCGCCCTGACCACAGGGGTGTGGATCCCTGCGAAGCGGGGACCCAAGCCCCATGCTCAGCCACGCTGCCTTGAGTCCGAAGCCCCGGCCCTCGGACTTGCTACACCCCCTGACCCAAGTCAGCTCTCTAGCCAGCAGAAGAGCGCTCTCCACGGGGTGGCTGTGGGCACACGAGAAGTCACGCACAGAGTGGGTCTCCTAGCGAGTCAACACAAGAGACTGTGTCCTACTGGCACCAGCCCTCCTCTCTCAGCCCGGGAGACCTCCCCACCCAACTCTCTCGTGACCCGGCTCGGCTCCCACACCAGGAGGCCTCCCCCAGCACTGCCCCGGCGACAAGAGGACCCTGTGGCCCTCTCCCGCGGTGGAGCGGACTGCAGCGCTGGCACGGTCTCCCCGCCAGCCCTCCGAGTCAGCTCAGCGTAAACGCCAGCGACCGTGTCTGCCTGGACTAGTGACGCTCAGTGAAAGCTTAGCACACAGGAGGTGACAGACAGAGACCCGCTGGCTGACGTCTGTGGAACTGAGACGGGCCCTGGGGATTAGCCGAAAGCAGCAGCAGACCTGGGCCCTCTCCCCAGGATTCTATCCCTCTGCCCCTCAGCCACGCAGGACTCCACTTCAGCCTGGAAACCTTCGCTCTCTGGCGCAGTGCTCAGCAGCTGCACTGTGAGTGTCTCTCTTCCCTGCCTGCAGCCTCCTTGGGCCCCAGGGAGGCCACGTCCAGGGCCCCAGGCCTGCAACGCCCTCCAGCCCTCAGCAGCGAGCCTGGCTCTCCCGATCACCCGCCGTGGGCTCCTGTGGCGTGCTTCTGCTGGCCGTGTGCGGCTTATCACTAAACCCAGCTTGCAGAGCAGAGGAAGAAGGTGCCATTTAGACTTCCGAGGTGGGGACACGCCACCACACTCCAGTCACACCCCCCTAACAAGCACGTGGTGGGAAGGGATCAAGCACACTCTGTATGGGGTGGGTTGGAGCTGACAGGACACAGTTCCGTTCCCAGAGCCCCACCAACCAGGCCAAGGGAGGCACCGAGGAGCTGAAGGGTTGGCCGTAGGCCTCCTGCCCTGTTGCTGCTATTCCCAAGCGACACGCTTGTACATCATCTCCAAACGTTGGGAAAGACACGCTTAGGCCATGTCTCATGTGAAAAAGGAGGACACAAGACCGTGTGTACCAGTATTTCCCAAATTCACCGAATCCCAAGAATAACCCAGAAACATTAAGCAGCTCTGTGGTAATGCTTATTTGGAAAATATGTGCTCCAGCACAACTGATCTATGAGGACACCATTTGAGAATAATGCAAAATTTCACCTTTCCCTATGCATGATTCTGCCTTTGAGAAACATTTTAGTGAGTGAAGAAAACTGCACCCAGGGCTGCCCTTCCCTGGCCGTCACCCACCCGCAGAAGCCCCCGCCTCTGCACTCACCTCTTTCTGGGCCACCTGGAAGGGGATGGCCTTGCGCATGTGCTGCTGAGTGATGCCACTCCAGCGGGTACGGTAGTCCACGATGGGCATCTCCGGCCGGACGTACTTGTCATAGAGGACATCGCCGTGGTAACTCACCACAGAGCAGCGGGCCAGCTCGCTCACCCGCCCTCGGGGTCCCGTGCCCACCATCTCGCAGTCGATAGCCACGCACTTGCTGGGCCAGGGACCCCCGGATTCCCTGGGGGTGGGCTTCCTGCTCCATGAAGCACCTCCCGATTCATTCCTTGGACGATGTGTCCCGCCGCTGGTGCCTTCAGTGCCCGGCAGTGCCCCCGACGGTGTGGGCGGTGGGGAGGACGGCGGCTCTGGGGACATGCACAGCAGCCCCTGCTCCTGCAGCAGCGCCTTCCGGGCCATGAATCGCTGGTGCTGTCGGCTCTTCCTCTTGTGCTTCCTCCGAAGCGCATCCTTGGCCTGCAGGCTAGCCAGGGAAGGGCACGGGCACTGCACAGACTCAGGGCCTTCCCGGGGTACCATCCCAGTGGGCTCAGCGCTCGGGGGCAAGTGCGGTCTGGGGGGTGATTGCCAGCAGGGCGGCGCTCTGCAGAGAGAACACACAAGGCAGAGAGGCGGGGTGAGAGGGCGTACTGGGGAGAGGTGTGCCCGGCTGGCCCCACAGCGCTCACTGCCACGCCGCCCTAGAGCCCTACGCTTTGTCTTGGGCTCGCACATGGAGTCCAGGATCCTGCGGAATCATCACCGCACTCAGTCAAGCCCCCAGGGGCAAGTCTGTTTACATGGAATCACTAAATAGTCCCAAAAACCTGAACAAGTATGATTATCCTCATCTCCCAGGTGAGCACAGAGGTTAAGTAACCTGCTCAGGTAGGAAGACACAAGAGCTGACATGAACCCAGAATCCACAGTCTCAGCCTCCAGGCCACAGCTCACCTCCAGGTGCAGGAGAATCAACATGTTTTAGAGAGGCACAGATATGGGAAAATAAAGGCTACAGAACCAGAGAGTGTGTGTGTGTACATATACACACATACAAATATATACAGACACACATACAAAATTCCATTTTTAAGTTTTTAAAATTTAAGTAATTTCGAGACCCAGCTTGGGGCTCAAACTCGTGATCCGGAGATCAGGAGTCAGACCCTCCGGCCGGGCAACACAATCCCAGTTTTTTAAAAAAGAATCCTTTGTGAAAGGACAGACCCTCAGAAACTGGAGAAAAAAATTCACAAGGGGCTCACAATAGTTGTGTGTTTTTGGTATGAGTTGACCAAAATAAGGTAATTGACTAAGGGACTTTCTACTTCACTCATCACAACCGCATCTAGAGTTTTCAGCAGCTGGGCATGTGGCTAAGTCACCAGAGACTGCAGGCAGAGGGGCGCTGGGAAACCGGCCCAGCTGCCAGAAAGGAGAAACTGAGAAGGGAGCGTGTGCAGCTCCCTCCATCACTGAACACTGGCAATGTCCGGAATCTGGGTGGGTTTGCGAATCCCACGCAACAAGGCCAGCGGCTGCCCAAGAGCGAGGCGCAGCGCTTGGAAAGCTTCACTCCCTTGCTGAGTCAGCTGCTGCGTGTGCAGCAGCCCAGGAAACCAGGACTTCCCAGTGGGCAGAGCAGGCGTTCCCTTGGCTCTTTGGAAGTTACCTGGCCTGCTACACTTCTACTTCCTCACATGAGAAACGGCCCTACTACAGCCTTTCCGGTGGAAGACGAGACCACACAACACACGCGCGCTCTGCAGACATTACATACAGCAGGGGCTCAATAACTACTCACCCCCTCTCCCCCAGAGAGGCTAAGACTCTCCTCAGATCAGTAACCAGCTCTTCCCAGGCCAAAGCTGCCTGGGCCCGGAACTCGCTGCCCCTCCCAAACCACAGGCCTGCCCCCTCACACACCTCCACTCCTGTCTACACCCTCTGGCAAGCCCTGCGGGGACAAGCCTTTATCCCACCAGGTGCTGAGCACGGAGCGACAAGGGCGGATCCTGGACACCGAGCAGCTTAGCCTCCGCAGAGACAGAAACAAAGCAGGGCTGGGTCAGAAGTAAAAGGGGAGCAGGACAGGCTGGAGGAGGATTCTGGGAGGCTGGCTGGAGGAGATTAAATCAGCGTGAAGAAGAAACAGTAATCCTCCAGCTGACAGGGAGAGGAACTGGTGGCCACATGAGGGGCAAAGGCTGGAAAGAGAAGGAACCCAGGGCTGAGGGAGAGGGGCCCGCCGGAAGCTTGATGCCGCTGGAGTGCAAAGCACGAGGTGGGTCCCGGCCAGAGAACCGTCCCTCTCCCCTTTTTACCACTTAACCTCCTGTCCCCACTCTGGGAAGGCCACCACACACCTTGGTGGTCCTCCCCTAAGCCCTTGAGCGGGGATCCCCAGACTGGTCTCTGCTGATCACGTGAGGGAGTCCCAGAGCACACCGACGGGAGTCACTGACTTCCTGACCCCAGACAGTGACAATCTAGATGGGGAGCAAAGAAAATTCACCCCTCCAGGCCTGACGGCACAACCACAGAGGAACTTACTGCGCTTGAAGATGACAGTTACAGAGCAGCTACCTCACAGCGCTCTGAATGTGTCTTGTGTCTTTGTCCCTCCCCCAACAGCCAGCCCAGACTGGCAACAAGCAGGTCCTCTTCAGAGGTGTGTGAAGGGAGCGGAAGCCGGGGCTGCTACCTGCCGGACTGTGGGGACAGCAGAGCTGGAGGTGACGGGGAATTGAGGGAACTCTGCACGCGGAAAGGAGGCCATCAGACTCCCATGAGAGGGTGATCAAGATGGGAGCAGTGACCTCAGGACAGACTCAGCGGTCCCAGTAGCGGACAGACAGAAATGCCGGGTTAGTGAAAGGTGGCGGCGGAGGGACCTGTTGAAGGGTGTCGGGAAGACCTGCCAGGAGCGCAGGAAGGGAAGGGCCATCAGAGAACATGCAGACACCAAGCCCAGGAGGCAAAGCGTCCGCACTGTGAAAGGGCAAGGAGGCCGGTGGAACACTGGAGAAGGATGTCGTTCGTGGGTGAGGAGACAGGCTGGAGGGAACGGCGAGAGACCACTGCTTCTGGAAGGTGGCGAGAGTCTGGGCACAATCCAGGGACTGATGGGGAACAGGATCCCTACTGCCTCACAGGAAGAGCGCCGGAGAGGACTCTGCCCAGCAGGGGCAGAGATGAAGAGGCGAGGGGAGGAGCTACTGGGTGATGCCAGGCTTGGTGACCCGTCCTGACTCATCCTCCCTCGGGCTCGCTCATCCACTCCCCAAGAGGCCTTCTCCCTTTTAATAGTGCGCGTAACATAATCAACATCCTCCTCTGGGCAGGTCACATCCTAGAGCTGACGCATACAGAACCTCAGTTTGCCTCAGCCCAGCAATGGGGAGAACACGGCCCCTTCCCTTCTGTGCCAGGGCTCCGGGCCCTGCAGGTCAGGAGCTGAGCCCAGGAGCAGGGTCGGTGGCCTCCCTGACCCTGCTGGCAAGATTTCAAAGCCAGAAGTGAAGCTGCCTGAGAAAAAGTGGCCTCGGGTTTCGAGACATGAAAGCAGGTCCTCTTCTACAGGCCCTGACCCTGCTGACACGTCAGAACCGACCATTAATCATCTAGGACACGCCTGGCCCATCCTGAGCCCCAGGAGGGAGCTCAGCGAGGTCGGAGAGAAGTTTGGCTCAAATAACACAACAGTTTCGATAAGGACACACTCAAATCTCCCTCCAGCCCCGAACCAGCTCCCTAGGGATCAGGAGCCACTGGGCCTCCCTGTGGGGGTTTGTGGCGTAAGGCAAGGACCCCAGCGGCAGAGTCCCCAGAGCAAAGGCTCCAAAGGACCCACGAAGTCACAGTCGCCGGCGGTGGCAGGGCTACCCGCGGGATCGGGGAGGCAGCAGGCGGTTGAAGGCCCCCTTCTTGGGGCCGGGGCCCTAAAAGCTACATGGCCTGGACCAAGTCACCATCCCCTGACCACAAAACGAGGGTTTATTAAAACCAAGGGTGAAACGAGGTTTGGGGGTCCCCCCAAAGCAGTGAAAACGTCTGCTTAAAACGCCGACCCTCAGGCCTACCCCCCCCTCCACGCCGTCCTAACTGCCATTTTGGGGAACGGGAGCTGAGAAGCTGCATTTTTCAGAGCGCACGACCCCACCCCCCGAGCCGTGGTACTAACTGGCGCCCGAATTTGAGAAAGCCGGGCTCGCTGAGATCCCCCCCGAGGTACTCGAAGTTCCGGGCAAGGCAAGGAGAGCCCAGCAGCCCCGCACGATCTCCCTCCGCCACCCGCGTTCCCCAAGGAGCGCCGCGGGGGAGGCCGGGCCTCAGCCCTGTAGGGACTCGGGCGGTGGTCACTCGCTGGCCGCGGCGGCGGGGCCGAGCCTGCCAGGCGGAGCCCCAGCGCCCAGCGCCGCCCCCGCAGGCCTCAGAACTCCGAGCAGGGCGGGGACGCGGCACAGGCGGCACCCGGGGCCGGGCCTGCACACCCGCGGGCCCCGAGAGCCGCTCGGCCTGGCCCCGGGGCCCCCTCACCGCGGGCCGGAGGAGGACACCGCGCGCGGACCCCGGGGCCAGGGAGACGCCGCGCCAGCCCTCCCGAGCCCGCCGACCCCAGCAGGGTCCCCCAGATCACCTGAAGCGCCGCGCGTGTCCTCCCGCCCGCACGTGGTGTCCAAGCAGCCCGCAGCTCCCACATGCCCGGGCAAGCCCCGCTCCGGCTGCCTGCCCATTGGCTCGCCGAGCCGCAGCGCCCGCCTAACGCTTTTTCTGATTGGCTGGGAGCCTGGCTCGCGGCGGATAGGTGCAGGGCAGCAGAGGGGCGGGGACTCCTAAAGGGGTGTGGTTTGTGCCGGGAGCCGAGCCGACCCGAGAGAAATTTTAAGCAACCCCCGGGGACCGTGTCTCCCGTGTCCTGTTCCCCTGTGTGTCCCTCCAACCCCAATCCACCCCTCTCCCTGGGTCGGGATGTGGCCTCCTACGAGTTGCGTGCCGCTAAACGCGGAATGGCTTACAGAAGACACACCCACATTTGCAGAATGGGGATTAATAAATAGTGCCTACCTCCTCTCTGTCATGGGGATTCAGAGAAATAATGTGCACGAGGGTCACTAAAGAAAGATTTTAAAGTCAGGTTTGCTGCTTCGGCGCTAGTCTCTCATTTATCCCTTTGCAATACTTTCTTCCTAAGTATGAAGATCCTACTGTGGGCTCAGCCCCGGGATATGCAGAATAAACACAGTCCTTCAGTCTTCAGTTGCTCAAGGTCTGGCTGGGTAACAGATAACCCACTGCGACGTGCATCATAACAATAATAAATAGTTCACATTTATTATGTGAGCATCACTGTGTGCAAAAGGCGACATATGTATGTAATCTGCACAAGAACCCCGTGAAATACATACTATTATTTCTGTCTTACAGTTAAGGAAATTGACACTAAAAGAAATTAAGAGGAAACAGCTAAGATCCAAACAAAGACCCTTACCAAAGCGGTCTGAGTCCTCCTAGCTCCCTCTTGCAAGTAGAGGGCATAGGAAAGGTACCCAGAAGGCCAGGGGTACCTGCATCCAGGAACCTGCTACTTCTGACTGGAATATAGACTTGAGGGAAGCAGGACAAAAGACAGGCCACTAGAGAGATGGAGTCCTTCTACTCAGACTTCTGATGGCTTTGGGGAGCTAGGAGGAGTTTAATCCCAGCTGGTTCATTTGCATTTGGGGAAACTCCCTCTGGCCGCAGAGCAGGGAGGAATGGGTTAGGTCTGGAGAAAGAGGGATGGGGGTGATGGTGGACATTCAGGCAAGATAAGATCCTGGTGGTCAGCGTGGTGGAGAGGATGGTACAGATTCCAGAACTCCTTAGAAGGCAACAGCGATAGGACAGAGAGCGGTAGGGAAGAGGACATAAGGTCTCCAGACATGGACATTTTGTGAGAGCTGTAACTCTGGGGGCAAGGAGGGTTTTCGGGGACTCAGTATCCAGATCCTCTACTCCCATGAGGCTGGACCTGAGCACAAGCCTGGAGTCCTTGAGGTTCAGCCTTCTCCCCTTTTATAACAAGTTTCCAGCTTTACAAAGGAAAGTCTCATGCACACACTCATGTTGAATCTTGCCCCTGCTGCTTTACCTGGAGAAATAATAGCGTCCATGGGATGCCTGGGTAGCTCAGCGGGTTAAGCTTCTGCCTTCAGCTTAGGTCATGATCTGAGTCCTGGGACTGAGCCCCGAATTGGGCTCTCTGCTCAGCAGGGAGCCTGCTTCCCCCTCTCTCTGCCTACTTGTGATCCCTCTGTCAAATAAATTTTTTTTAAACTTAAAAAAAAAGAAATTATAGTGTCCAAGGAGGAAAAACAAGAAGGCAGCTCTAAAGATTTTATTTTATTTGACAGAGAGGGAGATCACAAATAGGCAGAGAGGCAGGTGGGGGTGGTGGGGAGGAGAGAGCAGGCCCCCTGCTGAGCATAGAGCTGCGCTCCATCCCAGGACCCTGGGATCATGACCCGAGCCAAAGGCAGAGGCTTAACCCACTGAGCCACCCAGGCACCCCAAGAAGGCAGTTCTAAATATGAGTTATTACTGATGAGTGGGCAAGAAACCCATTCCTAAGTCAGATGATTTCTGATATACTTTCCTTGTGATCTAAGGAGGATTTAATCATGTTGTCAGCCAATAGGTCATTTAAAATATATATTTTTTGAGAATGGATAATTATCAGGAATTAAAAGAACTGAGAAACACTGACAGAATAAACAACCTCCTTCCACTTCTATCTGTTTTTCATGTGGAAACTTTTGTGTTTATCAGGGTTTACAAAAGGCCCAAACTCTGTCTCGTTCCTGGAAAAATTAAAATTCATCCCTGGACCTACAAACTCATTGGAAAAATAACTGACTCAACCTACCTCCTTAAGAGACATATTTTCCTTGGTGCTTCTAATGAAAACTGACTTTTTATGTTTAAATGAAATGAAATGCTACCTATTTGTTATTTGATCACTTATACTGAAAACACAACAATATCTCATTTAGGAGAGAAAAATGAACACCTAGAACTTGATGGATCACAGAACACTTTTTTAGAGTTAACGAGATCAAAATTTATGTACACAATTTTGTGACAGAAAGGTATGATTGGCGGCTCCAGAAAATACTGCCCAGCATGAAAATGTATTATGCTGGGATTAACTCCATAGCAGCTGAATGGAAATAGAAGTTCAAGAAGGAAAAAGAATGTTGCATCTAAGGTAAAGGAAAAACAGATCTGGATTTAGTAAGGAGAGACGTTATTTGAAAGGATTTTGGGGGGCAGGGTGGGGGCAGGGGAGAACTATAGTCCTGGGGGAGGGTTCTGATCAGAAGCCCCCCCACACACCTGCCACTGAGGCGAAAATGGCTTTTTTTGTTTTTAAAGATTATTTATTTATTTGTTTGACAGACGGAGATCACCAGTAGGCAGAGAGGCAGGCAGAGAGAGAGGGAGGAAGCAGGCTCCTGGAGGAGGAGAGAGCCCGATGTGGGGCTCGATTCCAGGACCCAGGGATCATGACCCGAGCCAAAGGCAGAGGCTTTAACCCACTGAGCCACTCAGGCACCCCCAAAATGGCTTTCTTTTATGGGGAGGAGTAGACAAGGCTAGAAAGAGTGGGGATGGGGAGGAGGGATGGACAGGAGTGGTCTAATCCAAGATCCGGATGGTAGGTTTTAGAGCAGCTGCGAAATTGTTTTCCCCTGAGGCCTGTTCTCTGGAGGGGTCATTAAGGAGGAATTGCAAACTGGCTCTGACTGAGGATGGGCCATAGTTGAAGACCCTAGAGAAGGAAGAGAAGCTTAGCTAAAGTCTGGTTAACAAGCATTTTGTTCTGATTGACCAGTGTGCCACGCAGTTCGGCTAACCACTGAGGAGTCAAGGAATGGACATTTGGAGTGTCTGCCTTGCCTCATTCAAGGTAAATAAGGGGAAGCCATGAGTCTTACCTCAGTCAAATGAGACAGGGGGTTTCTTTGAAGTAAGTCCTTTCCGGAACATGAGAGAATTCAAGAATTTCTTAACCATTGCTTTTTTCCAGGAGCACAGGGCTCAGGTAAAATTCAACATTGTCAGTAAGAGTTTTTCATTATCAAATTGCTATGATATTTAGACTTCACTGCATTCATTTAAGCACACTTTTAAAAAACAAGATATCAATATTTACAATACATCCTTTATAACTACACACAATGATGGTTAAAAATATTATCAAGTAGGGGGGCACCTGGATGGCTCAGTCGGTTGAGAATCAACTCTCAGTTTTGACTCTGGTCATGATCTCAGGGTTGTGAGATGAGCCATGCTAGGCCTGGAGTCTGCTTAAGATTCTCTCTTTCTGGGGCACCTGGGTGGCTCAGGGAGTTAAGCCTCTGCCTTCAGCTAGCCCCGCATTGGGCTCTCTGCTCAACAGGGAGCCTGCTTCCTCCCCTCTCTCTGCCTGCCTCTCTTCCTACTTGTGATCTCTCTCTCTGTGTCAAATAAATAAATAAAATCTTTTTTTAAAAAAAGATTCTCTCTTTCCGTCTCCCTTGCTCCCACTTGAGCACTCTCTCTCTCAAAAATAAATAAATATTAAAATATATATATTATCAAGCAGGGGAACCTGGCTGACTCAGTCAGTGGAACACAACTCTTGATCTTGGGGTTGTGAGTTCAAGCCCCATGCTAGGTGTAGAGATCACTTAAAAAAAATAAAATTTATATATATATATATATGTACACACACATATATAGTATATATAAGTAAATATATAATATTTATAATTATAAAGGTATATTCTTATAAAATATAATATAAAATTATGTTATAAAATATAATATAAAATATGTTCTATTATAAACAATGTAATAATATGTGAATATATATTTATATTTTATATTTATTAATCAAGCAAAAAAATATATATATATATTATCGAGCAAAGAAGTTGAAAGTCCCCAGATAGACAACACAGATGGCCTAATGCTGGCATCTTGACTGTGGGTGGCAATATCCCCAGACCCACCTTTAGGGACCTCACCCTCCCATTCTTGGAGTGAAAATATCAGAAAAGTAAAAAGCCCCAGAGGCTGCGGCTTCTATATAGCAGAACTCCTTTGAGCTGGGCTTGGTGGGAGAAAGCCCAGAATCCCAGTCCTGTCACTATGGACCGCACCCCTTCCCCCTCCTCCTTCCCAATCCTGAAGCATTTGAGACATAGGACTTGATCGGCGTTACGTTCATAAATCATCATTGCCACGGTCAAAGCATCATTCTGCCTGCCTGCGTACCTGTTTTGAGGACTATTCAGGATGCTGTAGGATTGTCATGCTGCTGGGCCAGGTGCAGACTTGAAAGGGGGGTGTCAGTCTGGTCATTTTTCAGACCAGTGGTTCTCTAAGTGTGGTGCTGGGGATTGGTTAGACCTACTGAGACAGAAATCCAGGGGGTTGGGGCCCAGCAACCCGTTTTAATGAGCTGACCAACTACTTTTGTGTTCATGTTCAAGTTTCAGAGTCCTTGTTCGGAGCATATGAACCTGACGAAACTCTGGGAACCAAATGAAAATAATTTGCTCGTTTTATTCAAGCAGATTCCCTCTGTATAGCACTCTTGATCCAACAGTGACGTTGGACTTACCCAAACACAGCCTGTCACCAAGACATTCAGGGTACCTTCATACCTTCCCTCAACTTCTGAGAACTTA